GTAAACCTTATTTTTGTAAGCCTCCCTTCAATACGGTAAGAAGGAGAGCGCGACGATGAGGGATTGCCACCAGTTGTGTGCCTCACAACACACGATTATCGCAAAATATGTATTCGAACATATTTATTCCATTACGGTATATCCAGTATAGTCAAGCTCGAAGCGAATTTGCGTGATGTTACGATGTGATGGACCAGATGCATTTTCCGAGTTCTCGCAGCTCTTGGTATGGTTTTTTGCTGTACAACGTAAGCTGTAACTAGAAATAACTCACCCAATACAGTAGGTTCGAGGTCAATGTAGATGGCACGTGGTACGAACTTCCCATTATTGGACTCGGAATAAAATGCTTGAAGCGACTGAAATAGGGTAGAGTAAATAGTGACTAATACATTATATTGAGTATGCATCATTTTCTTCAGATCTATTTGCTCTAAAGAAAGCAATGAGCCGCCTTTTTCTCAAGCATTCCTGCGGAGAAACGCAAAAGGAGCCAGTGCGGCGACCGGAGGGGGGGGGGGGAGGGGGCATTTGCACTTTTGCTACTTCCCATCAACGTGTCCACCCATCTAGAGAGCCTTTTCTTGAGTTGACAGTTTTACCATGGTGGCTCGACGAGCTTGCTCCAGCTTCACAAGAGTTCACAGGTTTCACCAGAGTGAGACTTGTAAACCGGAAGTAGTGAAGCAGCGAAAGTGCAAAATGCCCCTCCCCCTCCCCCCCCTGTCGCTGAACTACGCCCATAAAATTTTGCGCACAAGAGTTGTCATTGAGGTGAGTAAGTTTTGGAACGTCTAGGAAAGGGAGAAAAAGTCCCATCAGGGAAACCCTTTTCATAACGAGCACGCTTTTATATTTTGAAGACATTCTTTCAAAAAAATGTGGGGATTTGGTAGCGGTTGTTTTTGAGTACAGACTCACCTGTGAGTCCATCTTTTTCTGATCGATTGATTCATCCAAAAATCCACTTTGGTCTATGCCGTGTTCCAAGCAGTAGAGTTCCCAGCAGGCATTTCCTATTTGGGCTCCTGCTTGTCCAATGTGAATAGAAATACATTCTCTCTAAAAGACAACCTCAAAAGGACAGCTCTACACTCTCCTCTCAATCTCAACAAAAAAAATCGCAGGTAAAGGTACTTACACCTTCGGAAGGCATTGAGACGGTGTCTGGCAGAAGTGACCGAATGAGTGTGTGAGGATGATGGTCGGAACAAGGTCGCTCTAAGAGATACAACAGTGAGATTACAAGCCGCGACTGACCCGAAAAACAGAAAAAGCAGAAACTGAATGACCTCCGATTAGATTTCGCGCATGCTCCGCTCTTCACAAGGAGAATCATAGCTATTCCTTATATAGCCTGTGAATGCTGTAACGATGCTTATGAAGGTTGTTAAGGAAAACCGAAACGAGTTTGAGAGCTACTGACCGAAGGGGATACTATAGTTTGACGGTTTCCTGTTCCTGTTTATATTCGGATTTTTTAAAGAGAAAAGGCAGCCGGATCGGGCTAATTCCGCGTCCTTCTCGAACTCCGCCGCCGACTACTGGACTGTAGATCAATATGAAAGGTGCTCAGTGAACCAGAAACATCATCCTAATGGCAGCTTTCACGTGGCGACCACTTAACATTTCACGCGACTTTGAAATTCTATGTGTACCATCATTGACTAACTGTGTGCTAGCACTTCAAAGAAGTTCACGCATCGCAGCGGAAGGCCTGCATGCCAGCGATAAGCTAAGAGAAAGGGACGCAGACAGAAGTAGCACGGTTCGAAATTGGGCGTATGATTTCTGTCTGCCATACTCCGCGGCAAGACGGTGGAGTATAGAGCGACATCTAGCTGCATATTAGTTTCCATTCCGTGCAGTATTCTGGGCGAAGAAAGTCGGTAAGTCCTAACCGCGGCTCGGGACCCAATTCTCCGTAAACAAGGAGAATCAAGGATTGTAAAGGCTTAAAGAGCAAAAGCCCGCGCTCATTTGCCATCTTAGATAGTGAATTTGGGCTTCGCATAAAAAGGACAAGGTTTAGAGTAAAACAATAGTGAAGGAAAAAGCAGAAAAACATGCCCAATGTCCTAAATAGGACCCCATTACAATCCTAGTTTGTACGTGCATACGATGGGGAAACAGCGCTTATGGACGAGCGTTCCACGTTATTGGCTCGCTGCCAGAAATAGGTGTGGCGCCACGTTTGAAAGACTGACCTTTAATATTCTTATTTTTTCAGTGAATTCATCGTATCATTATGTTTCTTTGTTCTTTTTGAGTTTGTGTTTTGCTTTTCAAATTCAAAAATAAAATGCTATTGTTTCTTCCAAACATTATCGTAACACTTTTGCAATATAATACTTTTTGCAGTACATTTCCAGTTTTACCACTCCGCGCGCTCAGCTGACTCAATACAACCCTACGTCCGTACAAATAACGAAGCCGCTTAGATTTTCATGCTTTTCTCGTCCCACAACTTGGTTTTTCACTGAAGGGCGGCGCTTGGGAGGCGGAGTCACTGGAAAAAGGGAGGAACCACTGGACCTATTTTGCCTTATAGCGCCCCTCCCCTGCACTTTTTTGCCGCGAAAACGGTACAGGGTTGTTCGTCGCGGACCGCACTATCCTCCCGATGCCATATTTTCATCTTCGATACTTGATCGCGGACCGTTCCTTTAATATTCACAGAGATGAGCGCACAGTTGGTCTTCGACGAGCCAAATGATAGTACTGCATGGGTGTCTATCTTTGCGGTGGGTGAAAATTCCCGGTTGCTATAGTGTTTATTGTGAGAACCGCTGCTTGGTGAAGAATTATTGAAGTTTATAGTCCGGAAGTGTTAGCAGGAACGCTGAATTATAGACAAAAGACTAGGCTTCGAATGAGAATGCCAAGC